AGGAGGGAGGCACCAGAGGAGTCGTGGACAGGAGGGGGGTACCAGAGGAACTGTGGACAGGAGGGGCCACCAGAGGAACTGTGGACAGGAGGGGCAACAAGAGAACCTGTTGAGAGGAGATGGCCACCAGAGGAACAGACTCTGAAGGGCAGGCTGCCTTCCAAGGAAGGGAATAAAGGGAGGCAGCAAACTGCCAATGGATCTGCTGGAGGTCCCCAGACAATATGCTCAAAGGGATGTTAAAGGTGGCCTTGGGTCTGTGTAGAGGAGAAGCAGAAGTCTCTGGGAATCAGAAACTATGGCAACCAAAGCAACCTGTGTACTTGTCAGCTATGGGAGAAGAACATTCTGGATAAGGAAGGGACAGCTTCACTGTGCCTCTGCCTGGTCAGATGACGCCCTCTGGTGCTGCAACTGGGCATGACCAGAGTTGGCGGGGCCAGGAGATGATGACAGGAGATACAAGAACAAGGACTTGGGATGTTCAGTGTTTCCTGGAAAATAGTAAACCAAGGAAAGTCATCTGTTGTCAAATCCTGGGAGGACTGTTATTTGGCCAAAGGGTTAAGAGATGGGAAGAGAGCCGCTGGATCCAGGACAGTCTTTTTTGGTGCAATAAATGTAAGAATTTGTAGCAGTCACGGCTGACCAAAGACAGAACTGTGTTCCCTGGGTTAATGAATTTCTGTTTCTAGGATTGTTCAAGCATAGAGTTAACGGTAACTTGCAGAAGTTCTTTCTGTTAAGAATGTGAAGTACTTTAATACATTGGTTATATGCTGCTTTCTTCAAAAATTAATGAAAAGTAAAGGAAAACTTTTGGGGGGATAATTTCACCATTGCCTGAAACAGGGGTTGAGAGTCAACAATTCGACTAATGATTATCATGAATCTAGTATACCTGTCGGGCACTATAAGGGGTGCAGGGACATAGCATAAGGTTTGTCAGACACAATTCCAGCCTTCAGAGCTCACTATGGCCCATAGGGGGACAACTGTCCAGTGGGGTACAGATAGTAAATTAATAGTCACAAGTCCACCAAATGTTCCAAGACATGCTATGAATAGTGAAGGGGAATAGGTAGTCAGGGAAGGCTTCCTGGAAGAAGTGACACTTAGGCTGTTATTAATATTTGAAGGATCAGTTTTCTTTGTAATCAGTCTAAAACTACAATCACTTAAACTATGGTTGTAATTTTTATACACCAAAAATTTCTTGAGGAAGCAACTAATACATGAAAAATCTGACTAACACACCTCATACAGCAGTGAGTACAGGTGCTGTCTACTCTCGGCACAGCTCCTTCCTCCCAGGGCTTCCAAACTGAAAGTAATGGGAGTTCTGTAGGGTCCTGGTGGAGACCTTGGTCATGGACTTGGATCCGCTTGTCCTGTGGGCTTTTCCCCAGTGATTCTCCTGGGACCCATGCTGACTCTTAAAATGACTTGCTCCAGGGCTGCATAACATCTAAGCCACACCACTGGCCCTGTCTCTGGTTGAAGTAGAGCATGAAGGATGGAAAAAGTATCCCTCAATCCCTCCTGCACTCAGCTTTATAGACAAGAAGCTTTGCTGCTTTGGTTATATAAACCATGATCAATGTATACATTTAAAGATGCTGTTGACAATAATGATTCTTAGATTTCAATTGCATGTAAATTAAATGCAATAAACATTTACAGTACACTCTTCACTTGACAGACATTGTGCTGGGTGCTGGGGATCCCAGGACACACAGAACCAGAGTCCCTGCCTTTGGGAAACCCCTGGGGAGTAGGGAGATAGTGAGGACTCTTAGATGCTGAGCAAGTAGTTTAACACAGAGGGTTTTAGAGGCATTTTACTCGTATTTTCCTGCATGCTGGAGCAATCTACAAGCTACCACCTATTAGATGTTGAGTATGCTCCAGGCAACGAGGAAGGCATTTTCAACGTCTTCCCTTCTTAGAGTTTGCCAATATCCATTGAGTGTCTCCACATGTCAGGTGTGGTGCTGGGTGTTGGAGAAATGAGCTGCGTGAAAATAGACCTACTAGGTGGAGGGAGTCCCCAAGGAGCCTCTAGCGTGGTGGAGGTGAAATGCATTAGTCAGTATATTTGTCAGTAATCACAGAGATACATATATGATGTCCCATAATGCCACGTGCTGAGATTGAAAGGGAGATTGAAAGGGAGATGGAGCTGGGCGAGCACCTGGGAGCTGGGATCTAAGGAGGGGGTAGTAACTGGGTGGCCCAAGGAAGGGAGGACTCCAGGCAGAGGGCAGCTGGTGGCCTTTGTGGTCTCCTTGCCAGTCCTTTGAGGTGGATGCAGCAGTGCCCACTTCACAGGTGAGATGAGCAAGCGAAGGTGCAGAGTTGGTGCAACACAGGCCCAGCAGCAAATCCCATACAGGCTGGGTCCCAAACCACTGAGCCTAGGCCTGTCACCAGCATCCGGCAATGCCCGATCCTCCATGAGGACAGGGGAGGTCCTGAGCTGCTCCACTAGGAGTGGCCTCCTGTGTGCTCCGGCACCAGCAGCACGGGCAGCCTGCAGCCCCATAGCCAGTGCGCAGCCAGTAAGGTAAAGGGCTGGCCCTGTCCTCACAGTGCTCATTGCATCTGTCTGCGCTCTCATCACTGTTACCAGGTTCCAGGCCAGTTTCTGCTCAAATGTGCCTGCCTCACCTAAGAAGCATTTGCTTCACTTCAAGACCTGTATCTGTGAACTTGCAATCCCACTTCTTTAGAACAAAGGCAAAGTCAGCCTCTCTCCCTGGGCCCTTGGGAAACCTGTTCCTCCTAGTCCCCAAAAGACGCTTGTTTAGCTCAGCAGTGTCTTGCGCGAGCTCCCCGCTCCCTCCAGGTCACTGTGCCTCACCCCTGAGCCCAGGGCCCTGGCTCTGCAGCATTTCTTGGCTATGGTGAGACTTGCAGTCCAATCAACCCCTGGAGGGCCCTTCCTCAGACTTTTTGTAAGTAGTGACACCTCACTTCTAGGTCCCCAGTTGCAACTCAGAGGCCGATGGCCTGAGCCATTCCATTTTTTCTTACATACATTTCCAACCCAGCAAGTCACAGATACTACTTTTCAAAACACTGTTTTTTGCTTTGATCCACCATCTTCTCAATCTTCAAATTCTGTTCTCCTGAATTCCTGAAGAGTCACCCCTTGGCTTTCCTTTGCAGTCACCATTTCCTGGCTCTGTTCCTGGCTTGCTGTTGCTGAAACATTTCCTCACTCCTGACCTGTGGTTCCTAGCTGCCTTGAGCTTGATTTTTTACTACAGCTTTAGTGCCAAAGATACTGAATGGGTCACAACTGGGCAATCTGAAATAATGTGCGGTGTCCAGGAAGTGAAAAATAAAGCTGCTTTTGTGGCCTATAAGGATTTTATTAACCCTTCCCATGCTGGCGGTGCTCGAATTCCTCCTATCTTTTATGAGACACAGTAAAAATTCTGACTGGAGGCTACAGTGGTGGTATTCTACCCTCGCCCCACGCATCATAAAGTTCAAAATGGCCCCGGCATTGTTCCTTGAAGGCAATGAACGGGCACACCTGCAGTGGCCCTGGCAGCAGGGTCGGTTTTATTTATGGGCTCTGAGCTGAGTGGTCCTGGGCGCAGCAGCCAGTGTTGCCGATGGTCCCTGAGCATTTCCAGGAGGTTACTCCCCAGTGAATTTTCCTTTTTCTGCAGCAACCACCACTGCACAGTTTATCCGACCAACACCAAGCACAGCTCGAGTTCAGCACTCTGGGTGCACGACATGGGCTCAGGCTCTGCAAAAGTCACCCAACTGAGGAAATGGGAAACGAAGGGAGCAGGTGAGATAGAAAAGGTCATGGCAGGGGCCTGGCTCCATCAGCCACTGCCCACATGCCGACAGGCAGCTGCAGTATCAAGGAGTCCAGCAGAAAGCAAGACTGAAGTCTGGGGCTGGCTAAAAACGTAAAAGAAGCAGAGCTGAGCCTCAACACAAAACTCCACTCCCACAGCAGAAAGCTAGGATGCGCTTCCGGCCAGGAGGGAGACTGACTGGGGGAAATGGTGCCTCTGAGTGACTGTGAGCTGAGTTGTGCACTTACAGGCAAAACACATTAATAAGGAGTAAAATAAAGGAACTTTCTGAGGTGGAAATGAAGCTGGAGGAAGTAAAGAACTTACCTGATTTATTTTTGCATTCAATATCGTAGCCCGTGATGGGGCTGTTTCCATCAAACCCCATGGTCCACCTGAGCGTAATTGTGCGTGCTTTGACATCTTTGATCTCAATTTCGGGAGGGTCTGGGGGCTCTGCGCCATCAACAGAAAGACTCCGAGTTAGTTCAAACGGAGCTCTGACATGAAACGCTAGTGGAAATGCTGAGCGTGACTCACAAATGATTTGTCTGCATTAGACAAGAACAGACGCTTTTTATTTGGAAACATTTTCTTTTTCCTAATCACGTTTTAGGGAAGAGAAATTCCACTTTCCCAAGACTTCCAATTTTCATAGTCCTTAAGAACTGGACCAAGCCTGGAGGATATAAAATGTCACTATTCTAGTTTGGATCTCTAACTCAAAACATATTTTGGCCCCAAATGCTAAACTTCCCTTTCATTCATTCTTCCCATTTCATTTCATAGGTCATCTAGTACATGGATTCCTAAAATTGAGCTAAGGAATTCCACCGCTGTACTTGTGTGCATGCGGCTTGACTGTGATGGGCTTGTCATCTTGACTGGCTCCTCTAAGGGCTTCGTTCCCTGTTTCAGGGCTTTACTTTGACATAGTCACAGGCACTGCAAAATTCTGCTTTAGCACTGACATTATACATATTCAAAATTTCCTGGGAATTAGGAAGTGTTACAGGGCAAATTGAGGCCACACAGATGCCCAAGGCTGAGCATAGAGCTCCCGTCCTGAAACGACTGTGTTTATTCTCTTATGCTATCGTCTTCCTACCTTGCACTGTGAGCTGAATTATTCCACGGTCCTCCCCATAAGAATTAATAGCATGGCAGGAAAAGAAACCAGAATCTTCTCTCACAGTTGGCAAAATCTATGTGTGAAGCAGAAAGAAATTTATCTTTTTCAGTAGGCAAAATGACTTCGGGCCGTAAAGCTCTCTCTCCACTCTTTCAGTTCTCCTGCCATGCCCAGCACACACATATGTACACTGACACTCACACTCACTCACACAACTCCCATTCCTCCAGACACATACGCTAAATCACACACATGTATGTATCCCTCTGAGGACAAATTATTTCAGTGTAATTGTAAGTAGGTGGATGAATAGGATTCATGTACATTATCCATGTCAGTTGTAGCTCGTTAAATTGGATGTGTAATTTATATAGGATGTCGTGGTCAGCTTGACATATATCCCACATATACATTTTTTTTTTTTTCATGGTATCCAAAGCAACCATGCCTAAAGAGACAGATTAAATACTGCAGCCAGGGCTGGGGGCCAGCACGACTCACATCAGATTCCTTTTCCAGGATTCCAGGAACGGAATGTCTGAGAGCCAATATAAGCATTTCGAACACAGGGCTTCCCCACCTCCCCACCCTGTGTGTGCTATAGTATCATCCTCTATCCCCACGATAACAGCACAAGCCAGTTCACTACTCTCAGTGCTTTTCTCTAGCTTTTGTGATCGTCTCTTGACAACAGCATTTTTTTTTATTGTGGATTTTTCCAAAGAAGCAAGATAGTTTTTATAATATTTTTGTCCCAAAGCCCATCTCATTTTTCTTTTTGCAGGAAGTTAAAACATGCACACAGCATAGGCCGTCATTCCTCAAAGATTAACTGTCATTTAAAAACCTTATTTCTCACTTTTTTTTTTTTTTATTACAGTTAGGTTCCCTGCTGCGTTCATAATGACACCATTCTTAACACTTAGGCTAAAGCACTATTTTTGAAGGCTACTTCAGTAATCTCGCTGTGTGAAAGGCGAGAGAAAGGGTGCTTCATAAATAAATTCCAAAAGATTATCTGCTACTTATCTGCACCCACTTGTGTGAAAGGAAAGACTTATTCTTCCAATAAAGTTCATTTCATTGAGTTGTATTTGCCATGCTTTTACCTGCAGAGTAGAAATCACCTCTTCTCCCACCTCCTTGGTGGACACAAGATAACGGGCCATCTCAGGGTTAATGATTCGGTCCTCCTTCTCCCAGCGGACTATAATGGGCTTTTCACCATGCGCCGTGCAGCTCATCTCCTTTTTCTGCCCCTGCGTAGCCAGGGTAGTATTTGGATATGATGTTATCATCGCAGGAACTGAAAAACCAAAAGGGACACAACTTGTTCAGCAAAGCAGCGTTCTTGATTTTTCCCTGGCAACACACTCAGGTAAATCATGCTTCAAGAGATATTTCTTTGAAATGAAATTTATTCAAGAAACTGCTGAGTGAGAATCACAGGCAAAATAAAGGAAAGGCAGCAGAAAAATGAAACTCGAGTAAGTGAGCCCTCAGCAGAAATTGTCATGCCGTTTCATATCCACGGCATGTTGCTCTCTTCCAATCCTGTTGAGGGCCATGGCCTATATCCCTTAGCACACCCAGAATGATTGGCATGGTTTGGCTATGTCCCCACCCAAGTCTCATCTTGAATTATATGCCCATAATTCCCATGTTTCATGTGAGGAACCTGGTGGGAGGTAAGTGAATCACAGAGGTGGATCTTTCCTATGCTGTTCTCATGATAGTAAGTCTTACAAGATCTGATGGTTTTAAAAATGGGATTTTCACTGCACAAGCTCTCTCTGTTTGCCTGCTGCCATCCATGTAAGATGTGACTTGCTCCTCCTTGCCTTCCATCATGGTCATGAGGCCTCTCTAGCCACATGGAACTGTAAGTCCATTAAACTTCTTTCTTTTGTAAATAGCCCAGTCTTGGGTATGTCTTCATCAGCAGCATGAAAACGGACTAATACAATGATGTTACTGGTTGCTCTGTCTATAAAAAAAAAAAAGTTCACAGGAAGGGTTATCCTCCTTTTTCTGGGATCATCTATGTTTCTAACTATCATTTTCAACAATGGAGATAAAACCTCCACTTTTAGTCAACTTTACGTGAATCCCTTATTGCTGCTAACCAGTGCTCGTAACCACTCTTCACAATGTCCATCTCCCACAGTTTTATAAACCTTGCAAACCTTTATCAGTCACTGGAGACCTCAAATCTGTCCTTCTTCCATAACTTGTATCAGAGAATCTCATCTCCAATTTACTGAGAAAAGGGAACTCTTTATTTGTGAAGCTTCTCAAGTTTTCTTTTCCCACATCAAAATTAGTCTAATATGTAGGCTTCTTTTCTTGGCAACAGATGACACAAGATCCCACCCCAATTCCACAAGCCACCTATAAATTGTAGACTGTATATAACAAACACCTTTTAAAATGCATACTAAGCTTATAAGAAGGTGAGAAAAACCAGAGACCAAAAACAAAAGCTGATGGTGAAAAGTCAGAGGTAATATAATGGTGGTGTTTTGACTACTTGAGAGGCATGACATTAAATGTGAGACCTCCAAAGCCAGGCTCCTCAAAGGGTTCTATCTTGACAGAAAGTATATAACCAAAATAATAATAATAATAAATAAAAATCCACAAAAATAAAGAGAGAATAAAACTACCTTAGCTTGTGTTATATATGTAGAAAAACAATCTTTCCCCTGAGAATTTGCAAAACTGGCCTGACTCTACATAGGTCTGGAGTCAAATTCATGCTAAAGAATTAACATGAAGGTGACTGTAGTTTGATAATGGCCTGAGGAGACTAGCAAAAGCTAACATACTCTACAAGAATACGTTCTCTGTCCAGGCCCACTGAAATGCACCCAGATAAAGCTCTACTGGCCATGAGCTCACAAACTAAAACTAAAGAACACATGAGAAAACTAACACCATGATTGAGAACCAGCTTCCCAGGACTTCAGATGATAGAGTCATCAGATACAGACTGCAAAATAACTATGCACACATGTTTAAAGATATTTTAAAAATATGATAAAGGAATAAGATGTTAACAAAAAGGACTAGAAAGTTTAAAAATTCATCAAAACATAACTATATTTTTACTTGCTTTTAAATCTCATTTCCCCAATTACAGGAAGAAGCTCCCTTCCCCCATTTCTGAGGTCAAGCTCAGACTATGTACTTGATTGCTTGCCTCATAAGCCTTCCAAGGTACTTTACCATAGAAACATACTGGGTGGCTTCTTCTAAGACTGGCACATACTGGGTCATGCCTTGTCCCATAGCTTACCAGAGAGGTTTGAGACATATAATAAAACGTCAAAATACCAGCAGTTCTGTAGCCTGGACACTCACAGAAGAACCTACATTTGGGAGTTTCTCCAGAGTCAGCAGCCATGTGGCAGAGATGCGCCCCCCAGCACTGACCGTGTAATAAGATGGGAAGTAGGCAAATTGGCGACTGAGGAAAGAGGTGCCAAGAGTCCTGTATATCAAAGAGAGCTGTTCACAACTGTTGTGAAATTCCTCTTCCAGCATTTCTGAGATGCAGCAAAACTGGCTATACTGTCCCCAGCCTTTGTTTCTGATCCCCCCTTTCCCCTAGCCTATCAAAGAAAAATGTTTATTTTTATTAACAGCTTTATTGTGGTACAATATTCATACCATAAAATTCACCTGTTTTAAGTGTGCAATTCATTTGTACACTTAATGTTGCATTAGCTTCCTAGAGTGCCTGTAACAAATTACTAGAATCTGTGTGGCTTGTAATAACAGAAATTTCTTCTCTCACAGTTCTGGAGGCTGGAATTCCAAAATCAAGGTAACAGCAGAGCCATGCTCCCTTTAAAGCCTCTAGGGGAAGCCCTTCCTTGCCTCTTCCAGCTTCTGGTGGCCACACGCATTCCTTGGCTTGTGGCAGCAAAACTTCAGCCTCTGCTTTATCTTTACATGATTTACATCCTTCTTTGAATGTTTCTGTGTCTTCTCATGGACTTCTTATGAGGATACCAGTCACTGGATTTAGAACCTACCCTAATGCAATATGATCTCTTCTTAACGAATTATATTTGCAAAGACTCTATTTCCATATGAGGTCATATTCCAAGGTGCTAAGGGGACATTAATTTTGGGGATACTATTCAACCCATTACAAATATATTTATATTATCTAATACATATACATACATACCATTATAACCTGAATACAAATATACACAGTTGTATAATCATCACTGAATCAAACCTTAGAGCTTTTACATTACCCTAAAATATTTCTCCTGCCCATTTACAGTCATTTCTCTTTCCCCGCTCAAGTTCTAAGCAATCGCTAATCTACCTTTTCTCCCTGATATGGTTTGGCTGTGTCCCCACCCAACTCTCATCCTGAATTGTAGTTCCCATAATCCCCATGTGTCATGGGAGGGGCCTGGTGGGAGATAATTGAATCATAGGAGTGGTTACCTCCATGCTGTTCTCATGATAGTGATTGAAGTCTCACAAGAGCCTAATGGTTTTATGAGGGGCTTTCCGCCCTTTGCACTTCTCCTTCCTGCCGCCATGTGAAGAAGCACGTTTGCTTCCCCTTTCACCATGATTGTAAGTTTCCTAAGGCTTCCCTAGTCCTGTAGGACTGTGAGTCAGTTAAGCCTCTTTCCTTTATAAATTACCCAGTCTCATGTACGTCTTTAAAAGAACAGACTAACACAGTCCCTGTATTGCCTTTTTTGATCATTTTCTATACACAGAATCATATAGCATGTATTCTTTAATATCTAGTTTTCTGGATTTTTTTCACTAAGCATAGTGTTGTCAAGGTTCATCCATGTCATAGCAAGTATCAGTACTTTGTTCCTTTTTATTGCTAAATAATATTCCAGCTCATGGATATACTGCATTTCTTAAATCCACTCCCCCACTGATGCACACTGGGGTTATTTCTACTTTGGGGCTATTATGAGTAATTATACTACAAATATTCCTGTATAAGCTGTTGTGTGAACAAATGTTTTCATTTTTTCCAGGAGAGATTCCTAGAAGTGGAACTACTGGGTTATACGGCAATTTCATGTTCAACATTTTGATAAACAGGCACATTGTTTGACCAAGTGGCAGCACCATTTTGCACTCTCGTGGCAGGAGACTGGAGAGAGAAGAGGGAATGAGAGGAGGGGTTAAGATTCAGCATTTATGGTGAGGGAACATTCCCTTTCAACCATTTGAGTTCCGCAATTTGAGTTCAACCATTTGAATTCAATGAGGGAACTGAAAGAGTCGAGATTGGGTGAACCTACAAAAAGGTAACCGGGCATGTTCCTCAACAGCTGCAGGCTTACTGGCTGTAGAAAGCCCAGGGTCACCATAGATCTGCTGTCACAGAGGAACTAAGGGTGGTGGCGCCTTCTGTTTGGCCTCAAATCCACTAATCAAGATTTTTTTTCTCATAAGGGAAAAGGGCTAACTCATGATAATTAGAGATCTCAAAGCCAACAAAAGTAACCTACTGTATTACAGGCCTATGAACAAGAAAATATTTACTCCTTATTCTTTCCCTCACAGCTGGGGAATGTGAATCAGAAACCGTGACACCCACATATAATTTAGCTTTGAAAGGTGACCCCTGTCCACCACCATCATCCCCCATCCCCCAATTCCTGATGAGCGTCCTGATTCCCGCAACACCCTCGTCCTTAGAACAAAATATAGAAACTCTGGTTGCAAGACTGAAAATCAATCCATGTTTAATGCCTCCCAGTCTCCTGGGTATCTCAAGGCTATGGTCAGGATGTCCTATTGTGCAGTGTTTGTAAGAAGGAAATCTGTAAAATGGTAAGACGTAAAAAAAGACAGTTTTCCTGTGAGAACATGGTAAGTCACCATCATCACCTCTGAAATCCAGGGTAGTTTAACACTCACTGACTTTATTCCAATCAGAGTGAGTCAATTCTGAAGTAAGGGTTTCTGTCCTATTCTAGGAGCTCTGTGCAGGGGAGCAATGCATTGCAAAGGCTGGTGTTGACCCAGAACTTTAATTCCCTGGTACTTTAAAACAACCAACTGGAAATACTGTTCCCCAAAAACTGCAGCATTGTTTTGAGGACTTGTTTGTTTTCTTCTATTTTCCTTTTTTTAAAAAATAATCGCAAGCTTTATTGCATTTGATGAGAGAAATACCTTGGCCAAACCACAGACCTCTGGTTTGTTTATGATTTGCCCATCTTAATCTGCAAAAATACTCCTCAGTTTTATTTAGATTTCTACTTTGAAAGAGTGCCCTACTAAAATGGGTATTTTTGTTCT